GCGTCGCGCTCAGCCGGCGGCCGCGCCCCGGGCCGCGGCGCGCCGGCCGCCGCGGTCTCGCCGGCCGCCGCGGTCTCCATCGCGAGGAAGTCGGCCTCGCTCAAAGCGGCGAAGGGGTCGTCGTCCTCGGCGTCCGGCGGCGGCGCGTCGAGCTGGGACGACGCCGACAACGGCGCGCAGGCCGACCGCGGCCGCGCGGCGCCGCGGCGCCGGGGCTTGGGCGCGCCGCTCCGGCGCCGGGGCTGGCTCGGGCCGGAGCTGAGCGCGATCTCGCGGTCGTCGACGCCGGGCGACCCGAGCATGGACGCGAGGCCCGACGTCGAGCTCCGCGGCTGGCTCGTGCCGCCGCGCGCGGACACGTCGCTCCCGGCCTGGAGGTCGCCGATGAGCTCGAGCAAGTGCTGCGACCCGCCGTCGTCGGCGCGCGCCTCGAAGTCGCCGTCGCCGCCGCCGTCCCAGCGCACCTCGTCCTCGTTCTCGTCGAGGGGGGTTGGCGGGGGCGGCGCCCGGTTCGAGCGGAACGGCGTCGCCATGGCGTGCTGAGCTGCACTAATGCGTGCGCGGCCGGTTCGACGGCGCCGAGCCCGGAGATTTTTGGCGCTGCGCGGCGCGTTGGGTGTGGGACTACGCCGCGCTGGTCAGCTAAGTGCGGGGCGTCCTATTTTGTGAGGGCGCGGCGCCAACTGCCGACGGCGGACGGGGCGCGGAGAGCTCCGCTTGAAAATGCGCGCGTTCTTCATCTTTGGCCTGGCCCGCGCGATGGGCGCGTAATTTGCGCAGGCCGCCCACGACCCGATGCAGGCGGCCCTGGCCACGCGCGGCATGCACGTGGACGGCGCCTGGATCGACGCGGCGTCGCGGAGCGGCGTCGCGAGCGAGCGCGACGTGTACCTGCAGTACCTCATGTGCGACCTGCGCCGGGCGAACACGACGGCGCGGCTGCCGGCGGCGCTGGCGTCGACGGTCGACGGCGTGCTCGAGGGCAAGTGGGTGCTCCAGGTCGACGCGCTCGAGGACGTCGGCGAGCCGTCGCCGCGCGACGCGCGGACGCTGAAGGCGCTGCTGACCGACGGCGTCGTCGACGTCGCCGCGCTCGAGCAATCGCGCGTCGACGACCTCGACGCCGCGGCGCCCCTCGGCTGCAAGCTGTTCCTCCACAACGCCGCGGTGCGCCGGGGCGTGCTGCTCCTGCGGCCCGAGACCTGCCGCGTCCTCGGGGGCGAGGCGCGCACCGCCGCGGCCGCGCCGCCGGCCGCCGCCGCGGCCGCGCCGGCCGCCGCCGCCGCGCCGCCGGCCGCCGCAGCTCCCCCGCCCGCGGCGCCGCGACCGCCGCCCGCGGCGCCTCGACCGCCGCCCGCCGCGCGACCGCCCGTCGCGCGGCGGCCGGCGCC